CGCCGATATGCATTTTGCAATTTTGAGAGGGAAGTCGCGTTTAAATTTGTTTCAAATTTGCAATGTCGTCGCGTGATAATGTCATTATCGAGTCATTGATTTCTAACTTTGAAGGGAACAGAACACAAAAAAATTGATTGTCTGTCGATCAGAGTGGTGCAGCTTTCATGCAGATTTTTTATCGATATTATTGAACGAAAAAAATTGCAATTTCCGCGTTGAATATTCCGTCGATGCAGAGAGAAATTCTTCAGGAAAATTTCAGTACCAGCATTATCTGGGGAAAAATACTTTAAAAATCGCTAAAAAAACATAAACAAAACCGATTTTTCCCACAATTTTTGTCTGGAAAATGCAATTTATTTATTAATGCCAATGAAACACAATTAATTACACCAACTAATAACCCGGGTAAAAAAAAATCGTAATCCAAATATTATTTCCAAATTTTCAAAAAATTCTTCAAAACCTTTCCCAAAAAAAAAATTCTTTTGTTCTCCGATTTTTTTTTGTTTCATTTTTAAATTTTTTTTTTAATTTGGAAAAAATATTTCGATTACAATTTTTTCCGCGAGAACTGAAGTATAATATATTTATACAGTATCATAATTTTATTATTTATAATTTTATTCTAACTGAAATTTTCCTTGAAGCTAGATCTCCGTGAAAATCTGACGTCATATCCGGCCGAATGCGTGTGATATTGAAAATTGAATTATCCGCCCCTGAAAATCGGACATTAGAATTTGTCTACCCGATTTTCGGAGGTTTTTCAACACAAAAGTTTATTCAGTACGTGACACTGGTAAAACAGACAACTTTGGAGGTAATTCCAGAGACAAAATGCCGAGTCGTGAAACCAAATCCCCTATGTTAATTAAACATGTTCGATGGCATTAGTACCCTCTCTCTATGTCACCTCAGGGAATCCGCTATCCCGAGAAAGTTTGGCACGTTCCTGAGTGCATAATCATTGCCAAAGGGAATTTACACTCCTGCACTCGATGCAGATGCCATTAATTCGGGATTTGTCTCACTTTCAATACGACTGCACTTCTTCCCCAACGATCTTTATTTACCAGAAAAAAAAAACCTCCCACGTGGATACGGAATTTGTTGGAAAATTCCCGTAGCATATCCCTTCTGAAGTCTTTGCAATTTTTTTTTATGAAATTTTAATGGATTTTAGCGTTTAGTTCAACGTCAGAGTTGAGTTCACTGTAATACTCTTTTTTTTTTCTCCGTTCATGAGAGCGAGTGAATGAAAATTACCTTCAAGTTTATGGATAGATCCAGTCTGGAGTATCTCGGAAAAATATTAAATTTATATCGGAAAAGCTCATGGGCCGGAAGTTGCCCGGAAATTCCGGTTTCATGCTGGAATATTTTCGTTTATTCGAGAAATCTTCTATTTTGGGGATACATTCAGGGATACTCCGAGACACGAAGAAAATGCCGGATTCCTGGTTTTTCTAGGGATTATATTTTCTCGGTTATATAAAAGACTTGAGGTATTTACCGTATGTCGTATCTAGCCGGAAAATCCCGAGTAAATCTCGCCAATATTCAATGATTCGGAAAGTGACTCTTCAAAATTCATTTTTCCATCAGCCGTCGGATCGTTCTTGAAATTTTTCCCCCATTAATTATTATAAAATCTATTTCAACAATCGCCTTATCCTTTATATTATTATATGTGCAAATATATCTGATATATACTCTTTGGACGGAATATTCACATATAATTAATATATTTTTTTTTAAATTTTCAAAAAATTTCTGGAAGACTTTTCAGAATTTTTTTTTATGAAGCAGAAAAAAAAATCGGAGAACAGAATTTTATTTTTGGGAAAGGTTTTGAAAAATTCTTCAAAAAATTTCCCAAAAATACAATTATTTAGTTTTCCAATTTTTTTTTTGTTTAAAAAAAAAAATTTTCTCAAAAGTTTTCCAAAAACTTTTTGAAAATTTGGAAAAAATATTCCGATTACAATTTTTTTTTACCCGGGTACCACTTCCCGTGGATAATCTATAAACTAAGACTCAAAAATAAAATTCCAGTCTTAATAACAACAATAAAAACAATAGCAATAATAATTAAAAAATCCATATCAGAGACTCATCTCAAGTCGCATCAATCCATTCAATATTATCCGGTGATTAAATTTATAAAATCATTATTTACCCAACAATCAAATAAATTAACAATTCGGCAGAATGCGATATTAAATTCATCAAAGTTCACAATTAACTAATTATTTTTGGGCTGAATAAAAATCGATATTTTATTACTCGGACTAGGGGGTAATTACCTCGGATAATATCAATTTTTCGGCGTATTATTAGCCGCCCCTTAATTCCGGAGCTGTTTTATAAATAAAAAACCCCATTACGTCAATCATCGGAGCCACATGGGATACGCATTACAAAGATTATCGGGAATTCTTCTCCAATTTCATTTAAGTGGTTATCAGTTAGGGGTCCCTAGTTCACCAGCTCTTAAC